CTTTGAATACTTACCTGAAAAGCTTGTTCTTTCCAGTAAAAGCCTTCCCTTAATTTCCAACCTAATACTTGCATATAAATTGGCTGTTTTCTCATCTTGTCCTTTATCTTAAGAGCTTCCCTCATCTCCTCTCTTAAATTAGATTCTCCATTCCCATGATAATCCTGCTGGCTCTGGTCTAATGGGAGTCCATTGTTCTTGAACACAGATGATCAGGATTGTGATCTGTTTTCCAGATGAGGTCTCACTAAAGCTTTCTGTAATATTACTGCTATTTTCTTGTGTCCTGGGAGCGTTAGACAATTCAGTAGGATTTTCTGTGCCTTCCTATTTTTTAATGGAGAACATTTCATAATTGTATTCTGTGATGGAATTGGTCGCTGAATACCTTCTTGCAGTATTTTCAATTATTCTTTAATGAAAGTTGCGTTTGACAGATAAAATGTAGAATAAAAACACTTGTTCTCAGTATTTACAAATGCATTTTTGCACCTGCTACTTATTCTTAAGGATGGTTTCCTAACACTTGTGCATAGATGTTTTGTTGTACACTCTTGTATGTTTGCCTTCTGCAAAAAAATCACAGAAAAATAATTTTTCCTTCTGCTGCTGAAAAACATTCCTATGTGTCTGTTAAAGGTGGTTGTTATTTCTGTATGAGTTAGTAATACTCCATCTTTCTGAGGCTTTAAAAATGTGTTGAATCCTCGTTACCACAAAGTGAAAGTCGTTTCAGAATGTGCTGCTATGACTTGTCCTAGGTAAAGGAAGCTGGCAGCTTTTTATGCTGTATTTGGTGGCAAGATAAAATTAAACTTTGGAAAAGCCAGTTTCTCCTCCACCTCATTTTTTGAGCTGTCTAGGTGATAATCCGAACAAACAGTGCGCGTTTGTGTTTGGTTCAAGGGAAAAGTGCATGAAGTGCATGGTTTTCCCAGCCTTTTGAGTTCTCTTGCAGAAGAATTCTGTCTCCCTGGTAACGATTAAAACTGGGGAAATTGCTCTTTGTTGGAGTCCCGTCCCCCACCCAAGCTCCAAAGTCTACCAGTGCATGGCACTTCCCCCTTTGCAGCGGTGCAGTGTTCCCATGATCTGTTAGTTTTGTTCCTTTATGAAGGGAAAACTTTTTGGTAAAAGAATAAAAAACTCAACTTTGGGATAATGGCACGGCATGGCCTTTCCTCTACTGTACTCCACTTACTTTGAAGACAGTTTAGAAATGGTTATATTTACAGAAAGGCTGATGGGTCTTGAAATGCCCTGATATCTGCACACATACAGGCTGCTGTGGGTTGGTGTAAGATGGCTTTACTCCAGCTTTTGTTGTTACCTGCATTGTGTTTTGCATTGCACTTACTGCAGTGAAATAACTGTAGCAAACTTGGGTGATATTTGAATCGATTTCCCTGCTTTGATTAAAGTTATTTAGTTAAATATCTGTGAGCTTATGTCTGAGGAAATATACATACATATAAAAGACTAAATACCTGTGCAAATGTATTGGTCTCATTAATACTGTACACTGCCAGGTAGAAGCCAAGGGTGTGTTGCACATGTTTTATTCCTGATCCATCATCTAGGATATAGGATCACTTTCTCGTGCAGATTGATAACCAAGGCAACTTACACAGCCAGCATAAGCAGAGGTGGCTAACCTGGGTTTTGAAACTGAGTAGCTTGTTGAAATCCCATGCCCTTTGTAAAGAGCCCAAAAGAAATGGCTTTATCAAAATTCTTATGCTTTTAGGTTTAGGGTAGGTGTTTCTCACCACTTCCGAATCACTGTCTTGAGCAAGATGAAACGTTGCTGCCCCCTCGAGGTTGTTTTCTGGTGCTTACATCGTGGAACTTGCCATTATGCTAGAGTTTTGCTATATTGACTCTGTTTTATGAATATTAATTACTGGGAGTGTACAGGGTGGGTCAGTGAGCATTCATGGCAGGCGTTAGCCAAAGACACAGCCAGGGATGGGAAGGGCTTTAAAGCATGATGTTTGGAACCTTTGTTCTCTGTAGCAGCAGGAAAGCCCCAAAGGGAGAGCGTGCAGCGTGAGGACTTGCAGGCAGAGAGAGACTGACTAGTGAGTTTTTCTGCCATTGTTCATTTTTATAATCCCTGGAGTGAAGGGGGCACGGAATTCCGGCACAGACTAAGGAGCGTGCTATTTGTACAGTTCCTGACTCTGGTCCTTGTTCTTTGAAAGTCTACAGCCCTAATTCCAACAAGTATGCAAAGCAAACTTAAAAAACTGTTTTGCCTGGTATATTGCACTTCTTGAAAGCAAGCTTCACCCTGCCCCCAGGTTGGTGAAAGTAAGTGTTCAAAGAATCTGAAGAACAGCAGATACGGTAAAAGGACATCTTCTCTAAGAGCACTTCTAAGTTTATACACCCGAGAGAGATGCAAGTTCAAAGAACAGGGAAGTTTCTCTACGTCCATCTGCTGCTGTGTTTATGGAAGATCTTGTTTCAGTTGAAACCAGAGCGCTTTGCATTTACATCTTCTAATCTCTTTCCTACCTTCCTTCTTTTCCCTAAAGAGAGGGATAATCCAGTGTATGTATTTTCAGCTCTGTGGTTTTATTTTTAAATTGAGATTTCCCTCATGAGAGGACTGACTCGAAGCAACTATTAAATGAAGTTAATTCACTAGATGACATTGTCTGTTGTTTCAGTCAAATCCAGTGATGGTGACATTGATAGATTAGACTTCCTCAGCACAATGGCGTGAAACAGGAATGCGCTGTTGAAAGCGCCATCATTGGGTGAAATTTTAAGTGTCTTTGCCTGATTTTCAATTTGAGTAGCTATGTGGTACGTCTCTAGGCTTTTGAGGGGATTGAGGGGGGAAGATCCTAATATTTATTATTATTATTTGTTGTAACTGACTATTGAAATGACCTTTATTTTTATACCCTAGTTGAGTTGTTCTGAGTCATTTCCCCCTTGCCCCTGGCAGCTCGCTGTGCTGGCACACCCCATAAGTACAGGGGGTATGCTGGTACAGAATTTAGTACCCAGCAGTCCCTTAGTACAGGCCTGTGGTAGACTGAATTAGAGAATGTATCAGTGGGGCTGAAAAATAGTGTCAGGTCTGTTTAGGTTTGAGGATAGTCTTGCGTGTCTTCACCCCAATAAAAGAGATTTAGATTAGTTCTTCCAGGTTATTGAAAGAGAAGATAAGGCAGCTTCAATTCCTTCAGACCCATCACCTTGCACATCTCCCCTCTCTTCCCCCAGAGTCTTCTGGCACTATCATTTTTCCCTAAATTTCCCTCTCCCCATGCTCTGTCCTGTGCTAGAAAACTGACTCCACCTCCTTGCCAAACCATGATGATGATGCTCAGTTTCTCTCCTCTCTTCCAAATACCTTTCCCTTCTTCCTGTACTTGCATTTTCTTGTTTCCAAGCTGTGTATGCACTCCCTTTTTAGACTTCTTCCCTATTCCTCCTCACTTGCAGTGAGCTACAACAGGATTGCTTGGAAAGTGCTATAATTTTTCATGGATGCATCTGCTGTCATTGCCTGTTGAGTTGGACAAAATTGTCCTGCATCACTCCCCTTCCTTCCTGACAAACAGCTTCCTGGAGACCCTGAATTGTAGAGTTTACTTAGAGAAAATTAAATAGATTGATTTTAAGCATTGTAAAACTGTCAGTGTAAAGGCAAAATAACCACATTTGCATAGAACCCTGGGGAAACCTGGCTTAGCAGTTGAAGGTGTGGTATTAAGGCACATGAGGTTTTGGTTTTCCTTTTTGTTTAGGGGTCTTCTGTGTAACTTACAAGTACTGGGTTGCTTTCCTCTTTGATTTTCATAAATTTTACTGTTAAAACACTGATGAATTCTGTATTTCCCCTGTCCATCTCGCTGTTTAGTATGCCAGAGCACACACAATTGCAAACCATTTAATCTGATCTCTAAAAGAGTTGCAGGATGGGAAGGTCATCCATATCAACAGAAGGGAAGTCAGGTTTTTTTGTGTTTCTTCATCTGAGTGAAGTCCAGACACTAGTTGGATAGTAGAGAAAGGGTAAATAAATAAAAGCTTACTTTTCAAGCTTTGATCTTGCAAGGAAATTTAATTATTGCAGTCAGCATTAGAAGTGTACTTGACTGTCTTCCCAGCCTATAATAACAGCGTATTTATCTTGCAGTAATTACATTGGAAGCTGAAATCGTCTTAAAGTAATTGAGCCTTATTCTTCTACAAGTAACTAATTAGTGTCGTCTCAATGTCCTGAAAAAGTAGTTTCTAATTCCTGGAATGCTGTGTGCTCAAAGCATAGTTTGAGCAAATTTTTTGTTGCTACAGGAGTTCTAGTCCCTTTCTGTGGAATAAAATGACATTCATTTGGGTTCTGTGCTTGTGAGGTGTGTGACAAAACGTGTGCAATAAGGTGCTGCCCACGAGATGGCGTTGGCGTGTTAGATCCCTGCTGTGCTTATTTCAGGGAGAGTAATCCACGAGAGAATTAGCCATTACGTTTTGATTGCTTATGAGATCAGTCAATTTGTGTCCCAACTGTATGTTATTTAAAAGAATTGGATCCGCCCTACAGAAAAGTAGATTAAATCTAATGATCGTTTTCTCACTATGGGCTCTAGTTTTTTGTATGTCTCTGAAAACGTGAGCTGAAACCCCATTCTTCCCTTGATGAAGTTGTAAGGAAATAAGTGCAAGCATTACAACTGTACAAGCACAAACTGTCTGGATTAGATAGCCTGTGGTAAAAATGCTAAAGGAATATTTTTTAAAAAGAACTTACTAGTTTTCAAGTGCATTAACTTTATATTGTTTTTACTTGGTAATCTAAGTAAGCTTAATAGAAAATTGTATGTGAAGTTGCAACACGTGTTTGGTAGCAAGAATGCACTATTAGAATTTAATAACACTGGTTTCTAATGCTAATTTTGTTTTCCAAAAGTATGAATATGCAAAATAAATCTGAGAGAAGCATAAAAAGGTAATGTCCTCTTCACTTTGTTTTATTACAGTCAGAGACTAGAGATGAAAGCACAAGTTGCAGATGCATTTTTAGCAAAATTCCAACTGACACCGGATGAAATGAACCTCCTTCGAGGCACGAAAGATGAGCCAATTACTGAGGTAGCTCAATGGATGTGAAAAGCTTTGCCTTGAACTAAAATGTAGAAACATCATAGCTAAATTGTACATGAGATCTTAATTATCAGTTTGTAATTTAATTTTTTATGGAGGAATGTACCTTTTAACAGAAGGGTGTATTTCCGATGAGTTCGGAATGTGAAATGAAAGATTCAAGTAACAAGAAAGAAAATCAACATTAAACTGTAGATTGCTTGATGAGTTTAAGGGGCAAATGAGGTGTCGTGTGGTTCTACGTTTCAAAAAGAGCTTTCTAAAGTCTGAATTTTCAGTGAAGATATTTTAAAACTTCATCACACTCAAATGAAGCAAATGAGGAATTTGCAGCGCTTCAGCAGTATGCGGTGCTACCTGTGTGTAATTTGCATATGCATGTATATAGGTACTCAGTGCCTTGAAACTATACAAGCTGAGACTTTGCCTCGTTATTATTGGGTTGATGAAGGTATTAGGTGCTGATTCACTTTTAGCCACCTTCCGAAACAAGTTTGTGAATATGTTTATGGTTTGAATAAGAAGGCATATTGTTCCGCAGTAAATGCGGACTGAATAATGTGAGAATTGAGTACACATAATAGATTTTTATTATTGTTATTGCATAGAAACCTTCACTTAAAGGTAGACTACCTGCTGAGATGTACTATCTCATTTCCACAGGCATCCTGTTTGGAGTTAAAGCGTTACTAAGGACATGGAACAGATAACCATAAACAGTGCTAATGAAAGCACGAACGGAATGTGTTAAATGATTGTGCGCTTGAGTAATTGCCGCGTGCTTTTCTACCGACTATTACCATGAAAGAACATTCAGGTGTCCAAAAAGCACATATTGCAGGGAGCAGTGACAGCGATGCTGTGCTGTTTATTTAGTGTTTGGTTTGCAGCAGGTCGAGGATTGGTCCCTGTGATACTTTGATCTGTCTAAAAAATGTGCAGAAGTAACTGAGATACAGTCGTAGTTGGGTGACTGAATTGGCAGGCCAGTAAAATCACATCTGTGCTTTTCCTCGATGGTGGAATCAACCAGTGTGCTTAGAATGTTTTTAGTCAGGCTGAGGTTTTTAGCAATTTTTAATGCTGGAAGAGTGATGTGGGTTTTTATAAACATGATCTTCAACACAGTTGATGAAAGGCAGTAGGTTAAATCAGTGTCCTACTTCACTTAGAATATGTATATTTTTATGTGACTTGAGCCAGAGTGAAACTACTTTCCTGAGGCAGACTGTGTTCAAGTCACAGAAGATAAAACAGTTACCACTGAATTAGCTGGTCTCCTCCATGACATTTGAAAGATGATTTCATAATACGACGTGTTTGAAAATACTAGTGAATTTCCATTTGCTTTCTAAAACAAGAACAAAATAACTTTTTTGGCCATATGTCTGTGTCTTCTAGTTTGTTTTTTTCTGTTTTTTCCTTCGCTTCTGCAGCTGAGTTAATTCAAGGGGGAGAAAGATGGTCCTGGAAAACCTTGCTCTAGTCTATTGCAAATGTTTGATTTTTCTTTGAAATTGTTACCTCATTATATGAAACCAAATAATATCAACTTGTAATCATTGTACTTTATCATGTTTCAGTTTGCTCTTTAGTCACAAACGTTAATGCTGAAAAGATGATGGAACGCATAGTAATGTCTTCAAAATCTTTCTGAAGTCTTAACTAATAAATGTAAAGGACACATATGCTACATAAAAGACAGGTTAAACACGTATCTTTGCTGCTATTAATTTATTTTTTTATTTTTTGTTGTGGAAGAAAGGCTTGATGCAGTGGGAAAGAAAAAAATCTTAAGGTTCTTAAGGCGGAATGAAAGGTGAGAGGTGGTGGAGGAGGTCTTGTATTTTAAAGGCAGCAGTTGCAACACAAACCTGCAAAGAACATAAATATGAAATTAAACAGGGAGTATAGAGTGCTAGAGATTTAAATGAGAAATTGCTGCTTTTAAACACTGCTATTATTTTTTATTCTTTTTAATTGATTTAGGATTTTTTCAAGGCTTTGGGAAGAGTAAAGCAAATTCACGATGATGTGAAGATTCTCCTCCGGACAAATCAGCAAAGGGCAGGGTGAGTGCTACTTAAATGAGAGCAAGATAACCATTTACTAATTAAAAGCCGAAGTTACTGCACGTTCTCATTCTTTACTTCATGTGACTATACAGAGTATTTCACAAAAAAACCCAAATTATAGTAACATAATTTTAAATTTTCATTATTTTAAAAACGCTGAGTTTTATTTGATTTGCTTATGGGCTTTCTTGTACTACCTAAAATAGTATTTGTAAATAGCATCCTTTTGTCTTGTAGCTTGGAAATCATGGAACAGATGGCTTTACTGCAAGAGACATCTTATGAACGACTTTACAGATGGACTCAAAGTAGGACTAAGAATGTTTTTATGTTTATGAATATTATTATGATGATTCCTTTAATTCCTTGATGTGGATTGAACTCAGCAAAAACCCTTCCCAAGATTCATAAACAAGGCTTAGCATTTCCTTCTTTGTGAAAAATTTGTTGTGAACCAAATAATTAATTGGAGGCTCTCTTTTTTTGGGGCCAATCTCATCTCTGTTTGTAAAAGTGTATTATTTATTTGTATTTTTAGATTATTTTTTTACAGAGAAATCAACTAGAGTTTGGTAGTCTAAGCAAATTAAGTGTATTGCATTTCATTTTCTTGGAGGTAACATGGAAGTTGTTGGCTTTGACAATTTGGTAGCAAGATCTAGATTAGTGGGAGAGTGGCTTATTACCTCTAAAAAATTAAAAAAGACCCCCACCCAACCTTATTTTATCAGGATGCTCTTTTGAATGATAGTAGACCATTATTATTTTGCATATGTACTCTGTATTCAAGCATCAGTGTTCGATGTAACATCTCGGTGGTGTAAGATGCAGATGCTTATTTATTACTTTTCTCTTCGCCAAAGACACTGACAGGAAGATTTGTGTTTTTAAAAAAAAAAAAAAAAAAAAAGCTGGTACACTGTGATACGATATTCGTTAGCTGTTCTCCGGTGGATGCCGAAACCTCAGATAACTGTTGTTGTTCCACTCCAATGAAAATTCATAATTTTTGCGCCAATGTTTGGTATAGTTCATATGATTTTCACATTCTTACATGGAATATACAAGATTTTATAGATTTGGTTAAGTAGGAAAAGAAAAAAGCACCAAACAACAAAACAAACCCACAGCTTGCTTGAATACTTGCTCCCTTTTTTCTTAATAGTTTACCTGGAATGTGGTAAACAGTTATAAAGGAGCCTGACAGGATTCTGATGGTTGAATGAGTTAACATTTGTACATGGGTGCCAACAGATACTAGGTTTCCTTTAATTTTTATTATTGTTGAAATTTGTGATGGACATCCTTCTTACAGTGAAATACTGCTTATGAGGGAGTATAATTACTTTAACATGAACTAGGCCAGGTAGCATATTCTGAAGGCTTCAATTCAAAATCAAAAACCTTTGAGTTCTTAACTCATTTTCATGGTTGACAGCTTGTTAGAAAGGTATTACAGTGTAAATAATGCGCTTTTATCTGTGTTGGTATTTTATAGATGAATGCAGGACTTTGACACAAGAATCGTGTGACATTTCTCCAGTTCTCGCTCAAGCCATGGAAGCCTTACAAGATAGACCTGTCTTGTATAAGTAAGTAAACGTTCGTGATTATCTTTAACAGAAATTAGGATTTCCAGCCTATAAAATTTAAAGGTGGTCGTGAATTGCAGTGTCAGGGATGGTGGCAATTCAGTTCTGTGTCAGATTAAAATAAATCATATTCAACTTCTTTAAATTTCAGAAGTCTTTTTGACTGAATGAATTGTGAATTTCTGCTGCTGTCATTGTAGGGCTTTTCTGAAGAAAAAAATGCTGATCAAAGCATGTGATCGTCTTACGTAAATTCTGAAAGTAAAAAATTGATAAAGGCTAATTAGCTTTTGCTGAAGTGCTTCTGGTAGTAGGAATATCTTCCATTATGAGTTGTATAGTAATCTATTCAAAACAGTCTACTACATATGGGCCTCTAAAGCGTAGGGGTACTTAAATATATATAAATAAAATACACTGCTGTTTAGGTCTTGTTCAGAGTTTGCTGAAGGGACTGAACATAAATGGAATGGTACTTAGTAGAGGCAACTTAACCACGAGGTGGCACTGTAAGAACTGTTTTTCTTGGGATGACTATACTTGAAGAGGTATTCTTCATACTACTTTGCTTTTTAGTGTGAGTTGTTGGTGGGGTTTTTTTGTTTGTTTTTTTGTGTTTGGGTTTTTTTTTTTTTAATGCATTCATTTTGTTTTGCAACTACTGCAAATTACTTCTAGCCTCAGACATCCAGGACAGTAGAGGACTAGGCAGCCTTTCAAAGGCTAGCCTTGTCTTTAAGAGATGGTGTAGGTATGTGACACTGTAAATCTCCATGGAGCTCTTCACAGAAAATACATGCAAGTGGCCTCAGGTTGCTCCAGGGGAGGTTTAGATTAGGTATTAGGAAAACTTCTTCACTGAAAGGGTTATCAGGGTTAGGCATTGCAACAGGCTGCCCAGGGAGATGGTGGAGTCATCATCCCATGCAGGGATTTAAAAGACGTGTGGGGGAGGTGCTTAGGGACATGGTTTGGTGGTGGACTTGGTAGTGCCAAGTTAAGAGTTGGACGTGATGATCCTAAAAGTCTTTTCTAACCTAAATGATTCTATGAATCTAAGTGGACCTTTAAAAATCATGTCAGTATGAGAGAGAGCATGCACATCTCGACATGCTTGGTCAGTTCTGCTCGTTAATGTGAGAGGTGGTATCGCTCAACGACCTTCTCAACTATTGCATGTGGTGCTTTGCAGTCCTTTCTGGCGCTCTGTCCTCCAGGCCCTCTTTCAGACCTGCAAAGGATCAGTCACAACAATGTTCACAAGGTTTTATAGGGTTCTTTATAGATACAGTTTATGTTTGATGTAATAAATACTTGTTAAATTATGTTACTTTCAAACTTAAACCTGTTCTTTTGCTTTCATAATGTCTGTGGAGGAAAAACATCCCAACATCTCTGTATCAATCCACAGCTGGCCAGTTTAAAATGAATCTGCAAAAGAGACTTTACTTTTCTTCTGACATCTTGTTCACAAACAGCAGTCGTAATATTACCAAACTTAGGACTTTTCTTCTGCCAAAAAGCAAAAGTAAACATTACTGCAGAAGATGCAGCCTTATGTTTGTCTCATCATAGTTTATCATGCTTAACTCTTTGCTACAGCAGTATTGTCAGAATTGCGGTACTGATGCTTTACGTTTGAAATCTCAAGATTTAGTTTATTCCTTTCCAAAAATGTTTGTATACCTTTAGTACCTAAAAAACTGCGTAGTTTAAAATGTAAAAATTATGTCACGGAAGGAAGTAATTTAAAATTGATGTTGGTTTTAGGCATATAAGCACTGCCGTGTGAACGAAACGCTTTTCCTCCAAATCACTGCCCTTGTGTCTGATAAAGATTACGATTTGATTGGGTGAAAGTGAGTAAGATGGAGAAGGGCAGGAGTTCAGAACCAAAGCTACAGATTCTTGTTTTCTCCTATTCGCTTATGTCGTCTTAACTTAAGGTGGCAGAAAGATTGAATCATGGATGGACTTGAGAGCTGCAGTCAGTAGGGATGTGAAATAAAGTTTTCAGTTTAAATTTCGCTTCCCAGTTCTAACAGAAAAATCAAACTGTTTTGTAGAATATACCCGGAGTCATAACTCAGAGCAGTGTTCCCCTTCCATCATCCACTCTGGTTTTCTAAGCATTTTCACCACCTCCGTCCTCTCCTCGCAGTGCTTATTACTTTATACTGGGTTTTTAAGAAATTGAAGCGGGGTTGAAAAGTTGTTATTTTCTTCCCCTAACAGGAGTATGTGTAATAACATAGTAGTAAACACCGTGTTTCTAGTGTAAGTAATAGTTATGACTGAATTTTTTAAGATGCAGAAATATGTAATAGTTATAACCTGTTCTACTCAGAGCAAAAGGAAAATGAGTAGTTTTCTTTATAAAATAGAATTATCATTGTTAAATGCTGTTTTCAAAACTAATGTAAGATCACAAGATCTGTTTAGCTGCTGTATTTTTAATGATTATTATATAGCTGTTTGTTGGAGGTGGGGGGAAAAGCTTAGCTGGGTTCTACAAACACTTGAGGATTTTCACTGCAAAGATGCTGCTCCTGGACTGTGGCTGTTTGGTAGATCCCAGATTTCCCCTGATTTTAATTGCATAATTCTTGTAATTTATTAAAGACTTTTTTTCATTAGACTTTTTTTTAATTGCAGATATTTGCACTCTGAGTTAACAAGTACAGTGTATGAAGAAAAAGATAAAACCAGACATTTTTAGGTTCTTCAGTGTGCTTTTTTCCCCTCTCAAATAATAAAGTTGAAAAGGGCAAAACTGAAAGTTTCCTTGGACATTTTATAGCATAATAGAAATGTAATTGAACTTGGTACATATTTAAAACAGTTTATTGTTTTGTTTCATGTTTTGTTTTCCACATCTGTTAATTGTGAATGCAGTACTCAGTTAACTTTAGTCAGTGAGTAACATGCTTTTTATTACTATTATTTTTATATCTGTTCAACTGCTGGGTGTCATTGGTACGCGACGCCATGCTTACTCTCTGGCATTTCTTCAGTAACATTGGGAAAAATAAACTATCATGTGTATTTGCTTTTTCGCCTTCGTAATTTATGTTTTGTTCAAAATGCTTAATTTTTTTTCAAAAAAATAGAAGTCTTCCATGGCTTACAAAAATCCTCTTTCTAAGCAGACGTAACGGATGCTAGCAGTGTTCATTTCCCATGCTTCACTTGCTGCTGTGCTTCAGCCCTAACAGGAAGGTAGCCAGCTCCAAAAAACAAGCTGTCGTTTTTGGAGTGTGTTCTTGGTACCTCCTCTGCTACCAGCAAGCCATTTGAGATTATATACCCTGAGCTGTACTAGTCCTTCTATTAAATATCTAACTAAGACTCATTTGATTAAAACCAGTGATAGGCTATCAAATGAAAATGACTTTTTTACTGCTAATCATGTGGTAGCCTAGAAAAAGGAGAAAGCCTTGTGTTGCAGTGCAGTAAGTTGTTGCTTCTGTCAGTCAGCTGGACTGCCTGTGAAGAGGAATCCAAGACTTGTCAGTACATCATGTACAAAAATGTTACGAGTTGAATTTCCATTTATTTATTTATTTGTGTGTGGTAAGAGAATGGGAGGGTCAAGGAAAAGTTATCTGCAATATCTCTGTAGAGGAGTCTAGAAAATCAGAGGGTATTGAATTCTTCATAGTAGAAGCATTGATGCAAGATTTCTAGAACTACAAAAATGGTTACTCATTAACTGTAAAGCTGAGCTAATAAACTGCAATGAGGTGAACTGTTTTGTTTTACCCATTTTCATGTTTCAATAACAGGTACACATTGGATGAGTTTGGAACAGCTAGGAGGAGTGCTGTAGTCCGTGGCTTTATAGATGCCCTTACTAGAGGAGGCCTGGGAGGTACTCCGCGCCCTATTGAAATGCACTCCCATGATCCTCTGAGGTACAGTACTAGCAAGAACGTATATGAAGTAATCCTTCTTTTGCCTGTTGGCACTTTGAGTCCTCGACCCCGTAAGCTGATGTTTTACACTGAAATTTCTGTTTTACTTAGGTACGTAGGAGACATGCTGGCCTGGTTGCATCAAGCTACAGCTTCTGAAAAAGAACATCTAGAAGCTATGTTAAAGCTTGTAACTATTCAAGGTAGTACTAGATTTTAAAACATAAATAGGGAAGTGATAAAAAGTAAGCCTGTGATAAGTCAGAAAGTGTGATTAATTTCTTAGGCTGGGCTTCAGTTATGAGAGTCTGAGCTTAGATTTTCCTGGAGATAATTTCAGAATAGTTGGCAGATGCATTTTGCTAGAAGAAAGCCGTTAACAAAGAAGAGTATTTCAAAATGCACTCTTTTCATTTTACTGTGCTTGTAATAGATTTACACTGAACTTATAAAGGAACATTTTAGAATGTAGTTGAGAGTTCAAAGACTGTAATCTATATGAATACGTACTTCTGAAAACATTGTCATAGGGTTTCTTATTGGTATGTTGAGGATTCCTGTGATGCCTTGCTCCTTTGTTTACTGTGTTTTTAAAATACAATTCCTTCTTTCCATAACTGTCTTCCTGCTATGGTACAAATAAAATGGAATTTTCTTCTGTCATGTAGCGTATCATTATAGGTTTACGGAGGTCAAAGTAGGCCGATCATAGGCATGTGATGCTTTTTAATATCAAAGCTCTCCTTCATTAACAGAACTACAGATTCTCATGCTCATTCTTGAGCACTTTTGCTCTAAGTCCATTGGACCTGTACTTTAAAGACCTTTATCCTGTAGAAGCCGTAGTATGTTTTGCCTCCATAGCTTCAACCAAAGACTTGTTTACTTAATTAAGCATGTCTACTCAGTTCTAAAACACTTGTTGTAAGAACTTATGTTTGATCTGTATATTGTGAGCTCTTCAGACTGTACATCTCAATTGAGGCCTGCACTGGGATTTAAAGTGGATATGCATTCTCATTTTCCTTACTGCTGAAAGTATTAATTGGCTTTCCTAATTAACAGTATATGAGCAAGGAGGCTCTTTAGAAACTGTTGTAAATTAAACTGAAGAAATGTTTTGTAACTACAGTTACAGCATCCTGTAGAAGTGAATTTAGTATTTACTGACAGTGTGTCAGGGAGACAGGAAAGCAGGCCTCACGGTGGTGTTGTGATAAAGACATGGCAGGTTTTTGTAGGTGACTCTCTGATGGTTCTGCTGAAATCGAGGAGTCTTTAAGGAGAAGTTGGCCTCATGGAAGATGTTACTGTATCTGGTTGTGCTCTAGGCTGGGCTGCTGCTGCCCCAGGCCTGCATTCTGTTCAGAAATTCTCCCAACTCTTTGTGCAGTGCTTTATTTAACTATTAAATCCTTGGCCTTCTGTCAGGACATCAGGCTGGGGTGCTGTAACCACATGATTAGATATATCCAGAGCATTTAAGCCGTAGTTCAGAGTAAACTACTTGAGAATACAGAGAATATAAATATTTTGGGGAATATTTTTAAAAAAAAAACACCAGGCGAAAGCTTATTTCCCAATAAACTAGTATAAACAAGAGATTCAACATTTCTGTCTGAAGTAAAAATACGTTTTCCTAAGCTCTCCAGGAATAGTTTTGACATTACTGATGCGTAGTTTTCAAGAAATGTAGAGAGTGATTCTTAGCTTCATGCTAGGAGGTGCTGTCCGTTTACTGTTCCTCTGCATCTTTGGGAAGCTTTTTTGAAGACATGGATCATTAAGCGATAAGATCTGTAAGGCAAAACAGTACTTAATGGGATTCCACTGGGTTTAACAAGAACCATTTATGGGAAGTGCAGCCTTATGAAGTACCTTGACATTATATGCTTTATATAAATACAGATCCTGAGTTGGTAGTGTTTAATCAGTCAGCACAGAGTCTGTGGTACTGAGTTGAATCCCCTGTGCTGTCATATGGTCTTCAGGTGTCTGCTGCCACAGGCTGCAGCAGAGATTGAGTTAATTTCACTTAGCCACTTTCGCTTAAAAGTGGGCATCTTTTTTATTTGCAGTTACAGATAATGTCAGAGATTTGCGTCTCCAGAGGGCAGATCTTCCCAACAAAAGTTAGATCTAATGTAGACATTTCTGGAGACTTTCATCACAATTGTTTGGGGTTTTTTTGTGTTCCCTATAGAGGGATTCCAAGCAACTGCTATAGATAAGACACCTTAACTGGGGGTCTAAGGTTATAGGTCAGTCACATGTTTTAACTTTAATTTCTTTTTGCAGATAGAACTGGTTTTATTATTTTAATTCATACATCTGTCTGAGTTCAGATTTCTATTTAAATTCTCCTATAAGCTCTGTGTAATTTCAGGACTATGGAGAACGTGGTAAATAGCAGCTACACAAAAACTTCCCATCTCATTAAAAAAAAAAAAAAAAGGAAGGGGGGGAAGCCACATGTATAGCTGTGTGTGAGATAGGGGTGGATTTAGTCCCAGTAGAAGAAAAATTGTGCGAACGCCACGTTTTCGGAGAATTGTTCCCATCCAAGTTTTTACTTTAAGGAGAACAAACTACGTAGCCTGTAATCAAGTATTCAGGAATAGCTTTTTAAAAGTTTTAAAATATTAAATTGTTAACTGTTTAAAATTAATCCAACTAAAAATGCTATTAACATTTTAAGCGCTGAAAACACATTCAGAAAAGTTTAACTGTTTTGCATTGTATTGGAAGAGCATAAAGCATCTGGTTGTCTTCTTTGGAGCTTGGGTATTCTGTTAACAGGAGACTTCCAGTCTCACAGAGATCTTGCACTTCAAAGGAAGGGAGAATTGTAGGCATTCTGTTTAAGAGTTTCAGGAGAAACCCATTTTTCATTGAGGTACAGGAACCCAGCTGGAAAGCAGAAGCCAAATGAAGTCCAAGAAAGGTCTCTTCCTTATAGAAGGATACACAGAGAACGGTGGTATGTGGTATAGCAGGCAGCCAGAAGCATATCTTCAGTAATGGACTGCTTTCTCAAAGTAATTTTGGGTCTCTAAGAATTGTTTATTCTGTAATTCTTTTGTGTCAGTGTGATGTACTAGTACTTGCAACTGTTATATAACCCACTGTGTTGAAAGATTTCTTTTTACTGTTTGCTGAATATAAAATATTCTAATTGGACATGAAAATAATGTGAAGGCACGAGCATGCTATATATCAAGATTGTAATTCCATGTCCTTTGATATTTGAACTTGTATATTTTTGCAGCTAAAACTTTCATACCCAAGAACTTGTTGTGAAGTCAATCTGGTCTAGATACACTATGGCAAATATGTGCTAGGTGCTTGTTATATTGATGAACAGTAAAAGTGTGACTGTTCCTACTAAAAAATGTGTAAATTTTTAGGGTGTATGTGGGAGCTAAGAGTTACATAACAGACCATACATCTTGTGGTTTGCAGTCTTGCTTTCTTCCTTGATATCAATATTCAAATATATAAACATAATTTTATTACCTTGCCAGTTTATTATGCTGACACTCTTACAGCCATGACACTGAATTCAGTTCTTTCTGCTTATGTAGCTTTTCATGTATCTTGATGTAAAAAGGCATTGACACAGATCTCTGATCTGATCTAATTTTTACTCTCAGAGGTAATCTCTTTTAGTCTGAACCAAGATCTGCAAAACGAAGCTTCAGGTCACCTGGTTTCTGTCACATGTCACAGTCAGTTTGTTTACTGTGCATTGCATGGGTCCCGTCTGAAGATGAACTCCTGTTGACAAGTTTTAAATTAGAATTAAAGTATTGCGTTCTCCATAAATCTATTCCGAGTTGTTACAGAAGTGAGAGCTTGAAGATCTGTTGCTTTCAGTTTGATTGATTTATGACAGTGCTGGTTGCCATGCAACAATTCATTTTTGCTCCATGATAAGACAGAGCAATATTCTCTTTTGTATGTAGTTCTGGGAAAGATGAGTTTCAGTTGCTGCTGGGGAGGAAGCATTTGCTAATGCTGCAGCAAATAGCAATGTGGAGGTACATATGTGAATTAATTTGTAACAGTGCCCTGAGCACGTCAGTGCTGAACGCTGACAGACACACGTATGTACGGCTCAGGCCTTTCCACATGGTGTGTGCTGTTGCTCCTTCAGCATCTCAGTGGCCTTATTTTATTTCTTTTTCCTGTTTAATTTCACAAAGCTCTAATATTGAGCCTTACTGTGACAGTTTCTTGCTAGATCATTTATTCTTCCCCTTAGTCTTTTTCCCTCAAATCTCCAGGCACTGTGTTATGCCAGGAAACAATTGCATAGCATAAGGTGATGACTCTCCAGGACTCTGTTTTGTCATGCAGCTATTTCTTAGTGGCTAGATTTGAAGTTCAGTGGAGGTGTAAACTAGTCATCTGGAGGAAAGAACATGCAGTTCATAATGGTTTTTATGGAGGAGTAGCTCCTACATGTGTTTATTTGTTTTATAGTCTTGAAGAAAAGAGAATTACATTTGCATAATCTTAGCATGTGTTTGCATTAACTGTAGGTGTGGAAGAAAATATTCAAGAAGTAGTTGGGCACATCACAGAAGGTGTCTGCAGGCCTCTGAAGGTATTTTGTTTTCCTTAGTATTCTAAGTATAAATATTTTTCTGTCACATTTTTCCAGAACCTGTGTCCCCATCTCTACAATATATTTTCATTGCCCTTGGTTAAGAGTTAGATTCTCAACTTGGAGAATCATAAAACCCTTCAAAATCAAAGATTCAATAGTTCATAGGTAATCTGGTTTAAGTAGTCATATAGTGAGAGAAACTAGGATACTAAATCTGTGTCTTGATTTTGTTGTACTTTTCCTAAGTTCGGAAGTGCTTATGTACAAAACCACAGCTTTGGGATAAGCATATAGGAATGGCAGTAGTGAGTCAAACGAAAAATCAATTTTATTTACTACCCTGTTTTTTATAGTGATCAATAGCATATGCTTAGGGAGGAGTTGACAGGTTATGCAGTTGTCATGATACTTCTGTAGAATAGTTTTCCTCACCTGTTTGCGGATGTACTGAGGACTTACTGAGCCGTAGCTACTGTCTTTGTATTTAATAGACGTCAGTAGATTTTTCGTGGATGAATATGTCAGGTTGATATAAAACGTTGGTGTCCACAACATGAGGGAAGCACACAGCTGAACTGTATGCTCTGTGAAAAGCCAGCATCTTTTGGTTTTCTTCTGTTTAATAACTCCAGCTCTTGTCTTGGAAGAGACCATGAAAAATTGTTTCCTACTTACCATCTTTCTGCTACCATGATTTGCTGTATTTCTGTTGCATCCCTCCACAGTTGCCTTTTTAGTTTAGTGGACCCATTTGATAGAAATCATTAATAATAATTCATCAAGTGATTGACTGTCTTATTCATTGGATGTGCTTCGCATAAGCACATAATAAAATAATCAAGGTGCTGAAGCTGATACCAGTTATTGCCTGACCATGTATTGTGTAAATCCAAGTGTTCTTAAAGTAAAATCTGCTGTACTAAATACTACTGTAACAACTTTCTCTTGGGATGCTGTAGCTGTAACAGTTATATCCAGTTTTCAGTGTCAAATGCTAACAGGTAGTTTCTGAATACTATAGGTAAATTCCTGATAAGAAAGAGCTAATGTCTGAAGAGAGGTGAAAATCAAGAAAGTGCCATTTAAAATGTCACAGAATCACAGAGGCTTGAGGTTGGCACGAACCTCTGGAGGTCATCTGATCCAAACTCCCTGCTGATGCCAGGCCACCTAGGTACACCAGGGTGACCAGGATTGCATCCAGATGGTTTTTGAATACCTCCAAGGATGGAGACTCCAAAGCCTCTCTGGGCATCTTATGCCAATGCTCAGTCACCCTCACAGTAAAAATGTGCTTCCTGCTGTTCAGACAGAACTTCATGTGTTTCAGTTTCTGCTTGTTGCCATAGGACTATGATCATCTTTCACAGCCTTTAGTTTCTGACCTCTTGAAATACACCTGTCATGTTAGACCTTTTTTTTAAGACATTTTCCTTGGTTTCTGTGTTCTTGCATGCTATAGTTCTGTCAATACGGAATGCTGATGTTTGTGTTCAGTATTTCCATGCATTCCAACAAACTGATTAGGGATAGAATCAAACCTTTGTGTAAGTTGAAATTTTGGTCTTGATTTGAGTACTTTGTAATTTCTAGAGTTTGGTACAGAATGCCTTCTGTTTTGATTGCCAAACTCTTTACACTGGTCTGCTGCTGCTGTCTGTAGAAATATCCCCTGAAATAGTGTTGGTAGTTAGTTACTATGCTAATAAAAATAAATAAAACTAAAAAGAACAATTAAAGAATTCCCATTCTATTCTGTATGCTAATGGAATGCAACTTATGTTAATTCACTGCCAGTCTAGACTTCCCAACGTAAAATATGCAGTGCTTAGTTTCCTCTGGGGAAATCGTTTCCAAAAAAAAGCAGAAAAATAACCTGCAAACCCCCAAGCAGAAAAGCCTTTATGCAATGCAGTTAGGTAATTGCAAGCTGCAATAGGCACGGTTTGGAGGAGCATTTTCTGCATTACGTTGTTCTTCCTAAGGATTGTCCACAATAAGGAAAATAACTACATTGAATTCAGGCAAAAGACCCTTTTTAATACCTTTTAAACAACTACTAATACTTGTTGTAGTTGTGTGGCACCACGGTATACGGCCTTTGTCGTGGATTTCTGCTGATGTTTGCAAACCTGTTTGATTTGATCAAAACCTGTTTGATTTGACTTGATAATGAAGTGTAAAATAGCCCCATAAAAGCCTAGTCATAGAATTTCCACAAGTACTTTTAAATATTTAAAATTATGTAGAATTTTTTTACTGGCTGGTGGCTCTCTGGGTGAATGTACCATATGATACAGCTTCATAACTTTTGAAGGGGGAATATGCTTATATGCAGTATAAATTGTCGACCTTTTTTACTGATAGTTGGTTTGTGATTTAGACATCCAAGTGAATCTTGGATACTCACTAGTGGTAGATCTTACCACAGGCCTCTCATTTCAGATGGGAGAAGGAGGATGCTAAGAATCATTTAAATTAAGGTCCTCATCTTTTAAGGTCAGCTGCCTACAGGATGCATAGAAATAAGAAATGATAAGAGCCATTATGTGCAGGACTTCCCTGAGCACGTTAGGCTGAATCACCTGCAAATTTTGATTCTCCTGTGCAGTGAAGGCTTCTCTATGCTTCTTTTCCTGATTTGTTTTTTTAATTCTCTTTTTTTTTTTTCTTTAACTCTAAAGTATTTTGTTTTGGGTTTTCTTTCTTTCCTTTTGTCTATTCTGTCTTTTTTATTTCTTAATTGTTTCCTTTATTTTTAGCTACTGCGTTTTATTTTCCTCTTCTTCTACCTAGACTGTACCTAGTATCCATGCCCAAATGTCTTTTTATCCAACACTGGAGATACATATGCAAGTATCTGTGTGAACTGAAGAGGAAAGTTCAGCCTGTGTGTTGAATTTAACTTTGCGTACTAAGCATTGCGAATAAGAGTTAGAAGTCGTTCTTCGTTTTTGGTCTCTGACTTAGATGCAAAGGGAGGGGGTTGAGGAAGCATAATCTTAGTTAATTCACCCTGGGGCTGGCTCTGAGAAGGCGGCACTGCTACACGTCGGGTTCCATTGAACGGCAGACAAATAACTTGGGGAGCGGGTGGCGGCTGGTCGTGTGTGTAGCCCTTTCACACACAGGCACGTGGGAAAACAGTGCAGTGATAAATCACTGTCTGTTACTGCTTCGTAAGTGCCCAAAGATTGACCCTGGGACAGCTTTTTATGAGTGGATTGAGACCGTGTGTGCCATGGAGACAAGACATCAACTGTCCAACTATGAAGACAGTCAGCGCTCTTTTGGTCTGTGTAGCCAGGATCTGCTGGTTGAGATAAATGGTCAACTTAGCTTGTCATGAGTTATCTAATCAAATACTGGTAGGAGGTACATCATCTCTCCTTTAAGTGAAGGAGAGACTAATGCAGGTGAAATTCAGCTTTTTGGAAAAATACCTAATACTTTGTATGTTCTGCATTCTGCAGGATGCCAGTGATCAACTGTTGCAGTTTAGGGATTTTGCAGCTTTGCAGCTGTTCCTGATATTCAGTGTTGGGGAGCATTCTGTTATGCGCTGGTGTTAATCCATCATATGATTTCATCATTATTTTGAAATTTTCAATAACGA